GCCCCAGGCGGAGCCTGCTTTTTGGGTTTAGGGTTTAGGGTTTAGGGTTTAGGGTTTAGGGTTTGCGTTTAGGGCATTGGGGCCTTTTGCGTTTAGGGCGTGTTTGGGGGTTTGGGGTTCAGGGTTAGCCCTAAACCCTACACCCTGAACCCTAAACCCTAAACTATTGAAACCCTCAGCCGGCTAAACCTTAAACGCCAAACCCGAAGCCCTAGCATTAAACTCTTCTAGACGCCTTGAGTTTAGCATCTCAGGTTTCTTGGATGAGGGCGGGGTTGGCCATCTCCCCCCAAAATTCAAAGCGATCCGAAGGTGGGATGAAGGCAGGTGGGGAATCCCGAAGAAGTCCTGATGCAAGGGATGCTTACAACGTAGGAGCCTGAAGAATTACCAATACTACTTTTTGGGGGGTTCCTTACTATAAGTAATGCTATAAAGGAGCCCAAGATCCTTTTCGAATCATGAAAGCCCCTTCATTAGGCCCTAAACCCTAAACCCTAAACCCTAAGCCCTAAACCCTTCATTAGGCCCTTATAAGCATTACCTTCATCCCGGCTCTTCGGGTCCCTGAAAAAATCATCCGAAACTCCTGGAACTCTGAGCGGTGAGGGTTTAGATGCTGGGTGTTATGGGGCTTCGGGCTACAACAAAACAGAAGTCCCTCTAGAATTACCGGAGACTATCTATCATCCTCCCCCCAACCCCAGAGATCCTTGTTCCACTTGTCAAACCTCCTCCATTCGAGTTAGGGGTCCCCCTGAACCCTAAAGCCCAAAGTTTAGGGTTTAGGGTTTTGGGGTTTGAAGTTTTGGGGCTTGGGATTTTGGGGTACCCTAAACCCTAAACCCTAAACCCTAAACCCTAAACCCTAAACCCTAAACCCTAAACCCTAAACCCTAAACCCTAGAAGAAAAGCCGCAACGTGCTGCGTGAAAATCGTGGTTCTCCGCGCGTCGGAGGCCAACCCAGACGCTGCGGACATGAGCTACCACTGTGCCAGGGGGCTGAGCGCAGGGGCGTTGAAGGTTTAGGGTTTGGGGTCGGTTTAGGGTTTAGGGTTTAGGGTTTAGGGTTTAGGGTTTCGGGTTTAGGGAGGGGTTTAGGGTTACAGGGTTTAGGGTTTTAGGG